TGTATAGGTTCTGGTTGGTTTTCTTTCAAAGCTCGGGCGAGGTTTAGGTGCATTTGGGCGGTTTTATGATTGGTAGCGGGGTTGAGATGGATATGTGGGTTGGTAATGTGATGGATTCTGGTATGTGGGTACTCGGGGTGGATAATAGGTTGGTTGGGCATTATACACAGGATAGGCAATGGGCGAAGGCTGGTAGTAAGGTTGAGGAGTTTGGGTGTATGGGCTATAATATGAAGGTTGGGGTAACGGGTTTTGGTAGGTTAACATTTGGTTAGGCCTGCGGTCTTGGACGGTCATAATAACGAATACTTCTTTCTCCTTCTTCTTACTTGCTCCTCCAATAGTTCCTGACTGGCAAGTTTGTAATCTTTCCAGATTTGAGACCTTCCTCTATAACGTCTCCCATCCTAACAACTTCCGAGAATTTCTGCCGCAGCATGCTTATCAACCTCTCATAGTATGTTGCATCCGTTTGAGATCGAATAAAAGTCTGTCATCTCATCCTCTCCCATCGCGGGCTGGACTCTTGCTGCTTCTGCCCTCCATCTCATGGCATACTCTCTAAAGGATTCTGTTGTTTTCTTCTCCAACGTCATCAAATAGAATCTATCTGGGTTGGTCTCAGTGTTAAATCTGAATCTGTCCTTGAATTCTTGCGCCATGACACTCCAGCTGCGCCATTTCTGTGGGTCTTGACTTGTGTACCAATCAAGGGCTTCCCCTATAAGACTCCTTATAAAAAGCTTCATCCTGATAGCTTCATCCTTTCCCACTCCAACTAACTTATCACAATTCGACCTCAAATGGGCTCGCGGGTTTCCTTTTCCATCAAACATGTCAAATTTTGGTACTTTATATCCTGCAGGTAAATCGACATCGGGATGAACACATAGATCTTCATACTCTAAACCATCGATACTCCTAACGGTTTTCAGACTTTTGAATGTTTCCTTTAACTCACGGATCTCCTTCGCCATATACTCGTCGGCTTTGGCCCTTACATCTTTTTCTGCTTCCTGATATTGATACACTTCGGAGTGAAGTTGGTGAGGCATAGGGGTAGTAATAGTTTGTGCTTCCGCTACATATACTGGCGGCACATGCTGCATGTTAGGAATAACGACGTGTGCCATCGGTATGTGTTGGGTTACATGGTGGTTTTGGGTGAGCGGGGTGTTTTGGGCTAGTGGTGGTTGGGAAACATATTATGGTTTGAAAGTCGATGGGTTGGCTTGTTGCGGGTTAGCATGTGCGTTAGTGGATGTGGGCTTGTTGTTGTGAAGTGGAGGGTTTGGTGGAAGGTGTTCCGGGATAGGTGCGTCAAAAGATGGGAAAGGTGGTGGGATAGGTGCATTTGTCCTTTCTTCGGGAAGTGGTGTGTTGAGGCTGATAGAAAGATTGGTAAGGTTCCGAAGCCGTTCAATTTCACCTTGCAGGTTAGCCACTTGTTGCGACAATTGGGCGATGTGCTCATCACGTAGGGTAACCTCCCTTCCTTCCGAAGCCTCGGGTTTGTCTCGTTGAACGGTGACAAGTCCCAAGCTTGTCATATTAGATGTGTTTGAACCAGTCATGTTGGTAGCTTCTCGTACCTTGGATCTCCTGAAGTATGGGTGTTCAGCCAGTTCGCAGTCAACACAAATCAACCTTGGGGAGTAATAAAATAGAAAACCTTTAAAAAGGAAATAAAAGACAATGTTAGTAAGTGGTTATTAAATTAAAAGCAAGTATATCACATAACAAACAAATCACGTAATAATACAAACAAGTTAAGCAATGTTAAGCGTGTCCTAGTATGCACGGGACTTCTTTGTGCCAGAGGTAGGCCTAGAGAAAATTTGAGAGATAAACACACCATTATAGATCATTCCATTACTCTTTAATTAGACACCCCAAAACAAACTTTCATTGATGATTCAAGCATAGTACATAAATTAAAAGAGAAATACCAACATTGCCTTAGTCTAAAACGATTACAATGGCATAACCTTAATTGAAATAAAGATTACAACATAGTTCTAATCTAGTTGACTCTCCTTAGCCTCTTCGCTGCTCTGATTGCCTCATCAATTTTCTGGCGATTCTTCACAAGGTAAACCATGGCTAGCTTTCCTCCTTCGTCCAGTCCTTGGCAATAGCATTCTATGAATTGTTTCTTGAGGTCTCCATCCAAATCTTTGAGTCCTTGCTCCATTTCCACAGCTTGTTGTTTCCACATTTATATTTGTTGCTTCTGCATCTCCTCTCGTTGTCTCAACATTTCAATCTCTTTGATTTCCTTCTCATGTTGCTCCTTGTGCTTTGCTTCAGACTCGGACACCCTTCTTTTCAGCCGACAATACTTGATTTCAGCTTCGCTGCCTTATCTTTGATTCGGCCACCCATATTAATCCCTCTTGTGACAGAACCTTCAAGGTTGGCACGTAGCCATTCTAAATAAAAAGTGTCACATCCAGCTTGGTACCTACCTGGTGCAATTGTATCCTTAACCATAGCTCTCTTGTATCTCCACATCCTAAAAATTTCCTTCGCAAAAGGAATTTTATCATTATCATAGTCAATTCTACAATGATCCATGTTATCAACTTGCGGTATGACTTGCGTTCTTCCGGCTTGTCTCATAACTCGTAATGGAGCATATGGTTGAAGTCCTCGAAGCTCGATGAGAACCAAGTAAGGTAGCATTTTTACATGGATTACAAAATTCTCAGAAGGATACCAAGAAAACATCCGTTGAATCGTGGTATCATTCAGCTTGCTAAGTAACTTGCCCCATCCTTTAACACTATTTGGATGCTTTAATGCAACCACTGGGATCGTGTATGACGTCATATGATTAGCACCATTTTGCTTGTAATGCTCTTGGCTTCCACTGATCTTTTGGAGATGCCCCATAAACCACAACTGCAACAACAAATTACATCCCTCAAAATGTTTAAATCCTTTCTTGCAAAGGCCCAAAGCTCGGTATATATCTGCAACAACCATCGGCACTATGGTGTATGGCTTTCCATCAATGCGATTAAATAATGCATCAGTAACCATGACAAGTCGGGTGTGAATCTCCTACTTTGCTCCTCGCGAAAATACCAGGAGCCTAAGGAAACAAACCGAAAAAGCGAATACCCTCTTTTCACTCCAAGAAGCATGTGAGGAGAACATTTCTCGATGTCGTAGAAAAGCACCTGAACATCCAAAAATGTCAAACAGATAGTCAAGGGGTATTTTGGATTCTTTCAAATGCTCTAGCCCAATTTCTTTCTCAAAACCAAACTTTTCAAGTAACTCTTTTATCGAGGGACTTTTTGGAATAATCATGCCAGCGCTTTGCCAAGAATGTCTGCCTTTCCATAACAAACTCACATTCTCTATGAAGCCTCCAATCTCTTCTAACAATGGAGTCATCTCATTTTCCTCAAATCTGAATACGGCCCTTTCTTCATCCCAAAAGGTGACTGCTGCCTCAATAATTTTCCTACACGCTGTGACTTCCATAAGTAACGGTAGATGACCTAGCTTCTTTCTTACTTCGAATTGTGCGCTTTCTCCTAAGTTTTTCCACCATGTCTTTAGTTTTGGAGGGATGTCCAACACCATGCTGATCTTTGGGTAGACAACTTGATTCATAATTTCCTGCATCACAGAAAAGATTAATCCTACCCGTTTTCCCATTTAGGAGTAAGTGGTCCACATAATCGGTGTGTTTATCTTTCAAATAATGCACACAAAGGATGAATAACTGTCACTCGGGGTTATAAACCCGCTTGGACATTTGGATAAGGCTAGCTAATGGACTTAATACACCTAGGGTATTAAGTCTCCTAAGGTTGCGTGATGCATGCTCCTAAGAATGGATTTGGTTTAGCTCTATCCTAGGTCGGCTAAGAGTGGATTTTCTAGACTGGTCTTCTCCCAAGCGGACAACTTGAGAGTGGAAAGTCATGACTGTCGATTGCACCGCTGATCGACTTACCCACGAGCTTTCCCCTAAAAGGTATTTTTAAAAAGTGCACGGCCGCAAACCGCGTAACCGCTAGGTGTGTGCTCAGTGTGAATTTTCCAAAAGTGGAGGAAGTGAAAACGGAATAAGAGTTTATAAAAGATAGTAATTACATTTTACAAGAGGTAGTACATTTTCAAAAATAAGGCAAAGAAAAAATATTCACAAAATAAAAAAGCCATTTTTGTTAACCTAAGTTTGTTATGGTTTAAAACCTAAAGTCCCCAGCAGAATCGCCAAGTTGTTATACCCCATTTAAATCGGGTCAAATTAGAGTATAACATATTAGCGATTCTGAGGTTTAACTAATTTTAAGAGAGTCGCCACCTAATTATTTTTAAGGTGAATTAGGACACCTATTAAAACTTAAGTAAAACTCTGTCTTATGGTCTTAACCTAAAGATTCTAAGTAAGGGTTTTAAATATTTTAAAAGGAAGGTTTTTAAAAGCACCTTTTAAAATCCATTAATAACGGTTAACCGACCAAGCTTATGTTAATAAGTTATACAAAATATCAAAAAATATCATTTGAGGTATTTTAACAAAATATAACTTAGAATAGAGTAGTATAACTTTAAAAAAAACCTTAGTAAACTTTTTGAAGGATGTTATTACATAAACAAAACTTAATACTAGTTAATATGCATACAAAAATTTTAAAAGAAATATATTTTATGACACTTGCTTATGATTAAAAAATTTTATTTAAAGAGGGTACCTTTCCTTTGCTTGTCTTAAAAAAGAATCAACGTAAAGATATCTTTCAATTAGACAAAAAAAAAAAACGTTTACCAACGAAACAACCACGTTTTTTGTATTTTCTTTTTTTTTTTTTTTGTTAAGAAAAAATATTCACATTTTTCATGATGCTATAAGAAACCATTTGTCAATTTCAACTTAAGCACGTCAGAAATGAATTAGTTCCGAACTTAAAACCTGAAACATAGAGGGTGCTTTAGAAAATTCTTTTAAGAGCACTATTATATAAAATAGATAATAGTTGCGAGTAACTAAGTGAGAATACTAAGTGAAGGAGTCAAAAGTAAATCAACAATCCCAAGTGAAGTATGAAACTAAACTAATCAAAAGAACATAATCAAATTGATTAAAAATTTGAAATAGAGTAAATGTAAATAACGAAGGCCGCCATAGGTGACCCCAAGCTTTTCGCTTGTTCTTCTTCAAGATGTCCATCATAGTCTAAGGCTCAATAGTAATGACACCATGCTGATACGGGGCGGGTCTTGCATTAAAACTCATATTGCTCCAAGTGCATATGCCAAAACAAAGAAAAAGAAAAACATGAAATTAGGAAGAGAAATAGACTTGTACAAAATTTATAACAAGATTATGAACTATAATAAGACAAATTTTAAAAAATTTAACAAGCTTATGCTAATAGATTTATGGTCTTTATACACATTTTCTAACTAAAATGATAAGCCAGAATACTAACTTTCCATGTTTATATGAAATCTAAAGGGCCGGATAGATTAATATAGACAACATGATTCTTGACACTTATAATATGGTTTCTACTTCTATTTTAAGTCTTAGATTAGATATCAAAATCCCAGTAGCATTCTTTCTAAAAGAGATGTCAAAACGTTAGAACCATTTCTTTTTTTTTGGACAACTACTACACATGATATCTAAAGAATGCTACTGGAATTTTAGATGTCAGCACATGATACCTAAACACATGTTCTTTGAGCAATGTTCTGGAGTAATAATAAATTATCGATAGATTTGCTTCATGCTTTTAAAGCCATAAATCAACTTAGACTCCTTTTAGGCAAGAATTCAATACACAATCTTAACATAGTGACATAATATTTCCTTCACAAATAATTCAAAAGGCCAGTAAGTTAGTCTTGGGGGATCACACTATCAGGTTACTCCTAACTAGCTTATCTAGTCTAGTTATAAACACGATTCAATCCATTACAAGAAAAAATAATTCTTAGCAGAATTATTATTGGGGCAGTAAACTTAAAAAAAACTACACTTCATCAACCAGAAGTTTTCTTTTTGTTTAGTACACATAAACCAGATATAACAACTAAAGTATGATTTTCATTAAGTCTTGTACCCTTTATAGTAAAGGCTATGTTCTCTAAATATATTTAAAAAAAAAAGTTAGTATTTAGCTACATAGGAAACATTCACTAGCATCTAATTAGTTTACTTTATTAAAAATGCTAATGAGTATTTATTCACAATATAGAGATGATAAACTCATTACTATTTACTCCTACTTTCATTTATTCAAATGAACAGAGTATAGTGACCAACTAGTTCCTATTTCTATGAACAAATAGACAGTAAAGTCTTAGAACAAACTTCTGATATATTAACAACCAATAATATCTAGGATTTGCATACAAGTACACAATTTTAACTCAACGACTTCTAACCAAGATAATGATATAAATACAAATAACAGATAACCTATCAAATTCATTTGTTTCATGACATTTAAACTTGAACGGGAAAACATCAAAGGGAATCAAAGGTTCACTAGTAATACATGCCACATATGGATTTGTCCTAAAACATAAAAAAAGAGGAAAGATAAAAAAAACACTAACCTTTTGCGATCTAGCGAACTTGGGGCGTGCAAATAGGTCTACTATTTTCGGCCTAAGATTCGCGACAGTCAAACTCCGAAAAAACAGTAATGCCTCAAGGTTATATTTTTTCAAAAAACCAAGAGAGAAGCAAGCTTTTAGAAAATGGTTTAAAGGAGTAAAAATGAAAGAGGAGTAACCGTACAAGGGTCTGAAGCGGCGGGTACCAAGGTGCCCGAAACTAGCCACAAAGTCTGATATTTATAGGAGATGCATTAGGGCTCTTCTAGGGTAGATTTGGGCGGGATTCTTGAAGGGTTAGGGTTTCAAACGGCTAAAAACCCATTTGAAATAGTGTGTAGCAGAAAGCAAAGGACGATATGGTCAGAGTGAGCATAGATTCGGTTGCCAAAATTGTGAATCTTGGAGGAAACACAAAAGAAAGAGAACCTTTTTACCTCTGCCATCTTCATTGTAAATAGCAAGCAAATTTGAATTCTTCAATTGAAGTTCTTGATTTTGCAAATGATTTCTTAGAATGGCCACACAAAATTTTTATTATAAGATATGAGAGTCAAATTCGCTAAGAAATTAGAAGGAGCCAAAAAAGATTCTGCCATGGTAGAGAAAAGAGAGGCGTTGGTTTTCCTTGGAAGAGGGAAAGAGATGGAACCCTAGTCAAATTTAATTTTAGAAATAAATCCTTTAGATGCGTCTAATGGCTGAGATTAATCTTGATATAAGTAAATAAGGTATAATAAAATAAATAAAGCAAGAATTTATTTGGCATTCTCTAGAAGATAGAAGAAATGATCTTGACCATTAATTTAAAATGGACTAGATCTGATGAATCCATGTGGCAAGGTGTGGGTCAAAGTGTGAAGGGATGAGGAGAGCATGTGCTAGGAGTGTGTTGGTCATGGGATTGTACCGTTGGCGCCTATGTGGCGCTGATGTGGAGGCTTATGTGGCGCTTATGTGGAGTCCATGTCGATGAAAGAGCTAGGTAGATGGGCTGGCGGGTATGGGCTATTTTATGGGCTATTTTGGTTGATTTATGGGGTCTAAAAATCTGAAAATGTGTTATAAAATTGGCCCCATTTTAAATAACATTAAACTTTACCAAGATGATCTAATTTACATTTAAAAGTCCTTTTTCACTTTAAATTTTACTATGCTTCCATAATTCTAATAATTTATAATAAAATATATTATATTATATTATTGTAAAAATTAATATCTAGTGTGTATGCATTTATATATAGAATAAGAAGTTGAAAAATAAAATATAGTTGGGCAAATAATATTTGTATTAATTATTACGATGCGTTAGCATTAAATAATNAGCATTAAATAATAATATGATGGTGACTAAGTAACTAAAATAACAATAACGATGTAATTACAATAAATAAATATACTAAATTATATTAAGGCTAATAGTTATATTTTATTTTAAAAATCTTGAGGCTAGAAAATATAACAAATGTCTTGGATAAAAATATGTAAAATATATTCAGTAAATTATTAAGAAGTAGGAAGTATAGAGAAATTGCTTATGATAAAGGAGGGCCAAAATTGGTTGTCAACAAACTGCCCTCCAGAAATGTGAGGTAAACTGCGTACCTCGGTCAAAAATGATAGACACAGGCACACCATCAAGACGAACAATCTCTCGGATATAGATCTCGGCCAACCGCTTCGAGGAATAGGAAACTGCCACAGGAATGAAATGCGCTAACTTGGTCAGCCTATCAACAATAAACCATACTGCATCGAACTTCCTCTGAGTCCGTGGGAGTCCAACAACGAATTCCATAGTGATCCTCTCCCATTTCCACTCAGGAATCTCAATCTTCTGAAACAAACCACGAGGTCTCTAATGCTCGTACTTTACCTGCTGACAATTCAAACACCGAGCTACATAGGCAACAATGTCCTTCTTCATCCTCCTCTACCAATAATGCTGCCGCAAATCCTGATACATCTTAGCGGCGCTCGGATGAATAGAGTATCGGGAACTATGGGCCACCTCTAGAATCAACTCACGAAGCCCATCCACATTAGGGGCACAAATACAACCCTGCATCCTCAAGACTCCATCATCTCCAACTGTAACCTGCTTGGCACCTTCGTGCCGCACTGTGTCCCTAAGAACACACAAATGAAGGTCATCATACTGTCGATCTCGGATACGCTCAAATAATGAAGAACAAGCGACTGTGCAAGCTAACACACTGCTGGGCTAGGAGACATCCAACTTCACGAACTGATTGGCCAAATCCTAAACATCCAAAGCAAGCGGATTCTCACCGACCGAAATATACGCAAGACTACCCATACTGGCTGACTTTCTACTCAATGCATCGGCCACCACATTGGCCTTCCCCGGATGATATAAGATGGTGATATCATAGTCTTTCAACAGCTCCAACCACCTCCTCTGCCTCAAATTTAGTTCCTTCTGCTTGAAAAAATACTGCAGACTCTTGTGATCAGTGAACACCTCACATGACACGCTATACAGATAATGCCTACAAATCATCAACGTGTGAACAATGGCTGCTAACTCCAAATCATGAACTGGATAATTCTTCTCATGAATCTTCAACTGCCGTGAAGCATATGCAATGTTCTTGCCATCGTGCATCAACACCGCACCAAGTCCAATACGAGATGCATCACAATAAACTGTATATGGCGCTGAACCTGTGGGCAAAATCAACACTAGCGCTGTAGTCAAAGCTCTCTTGAGCTTCTGAAAGCTCGCCTCACACTCGTCCGACCACCTGAATTGGGCACCCTTCTAGGTCAACCTGGTCATCGGGGCTGCAATAGATGAAAGCCCCTCCACAAACTGACGTTAATAGCCTGCCAAACCCAAGAAACTCCGGATCTCTGCAGTTGATGCGGATCGAGGCCAGTTCTTGACTGCCTCTATCTTCTTCGGATGCACCTAAATACCCTCTACTGATATAACATGACCTAAGAATGCAACTGAACTGAACCAAAACTCGCACTTCAAAAACTTAGCATACAACTGACTATCCCTTAGAGTCTAAAGAACGACTCAAAGATGCTGGTCGTGCTCCTCCCGACTGCGGGAATAGATCAAATATCATCAATGAAGACAATCACGAAGGAATCCAAATAAGGACTGAACACTCGGTTCATCAAATCCATGAAAGTTGTTGGGGCATTCGTCAATCCGAATGACATCACCAAGAACTCATAATGCTCGTACCGAGTGCTGAAAGCTGTCGTAGGGACATCAGATGCCCTAATCCTCAACATATAGTAGCCAGATCTCAAGTCAATCTTCGAAAATACCTTGGCACCCTGAAGCTGATCAACCAAATCATCAATCCTCGGCAATGGATACTTGTTCTTGATTGTGACCTTGTTCAACTGCCGGTAATCTATACACATTCTCATCGATCCGACCATCTTCTTAACAAACAACACCGGTGCACCCCAAGGCGAAACACTAGGCCTAATAAAGCCCTTTATCAAGCAAGTTTTGCAACTGCTCCTTCAGTTCTTTCAACTCAGGCGGGGCCATACGATACAACGGACTAGAAATGGGCTAAGTGCCCGAAGCCAAATCAATCCAGAAGTCAATATTCCTGTTGGGTGGCATACCCGGCAAGTCTGAAGGAAATACCTCAGGAAACTCACGAACCAGGGGCACAAAATTCATAGGAGGAACCTCGACACTAGAATCACGAACATACGCCAAATAGGCCAAACATCCTTTATCAACCATACGTCGAGCCTTCATATATGAGATAACCCTACGGGTAGAATGACCAGGAGTCCCTCTCCACTCTAGATGGGGTAAACCCGGTAAAGCTAAGGTCACAATCTTGGCATGACAGTCCAAGATAGTGTGGTAAGGTGATAATCGGTTCATCCCTAATAAGAAATCAAAATCAACCATATCTAAAAGTAACAAATCTACTCGAGACTCAAGACCCGCAATCACAACAATACATGAACGATGGACACGATCTACCACAATAGAATCACTTACCGGTGTAGACACATATACATTAGCACTCAAGGAATCACTAGGCATGACCAGATGCGGTGCAAATAAGATGTCACATAGGAGTATATAGATCCTGGATCAAATAGCACTGAAGTATCTCTACTACAAACCAGAACAGTACCTGTGATAACTGCATCGGAGGCCTCAGCCTCAGGCCTGGCTAGAAGAGCATAACATCGGGGTTGGGCCCCACCACTCTGAACTATATCTTTGGGACGACCTCCTGCTATCTGGCCTCTACCTCTAGCGGCCTGACCTGCACCTCTAATACCTCTACCTCTACCTTTAGCACCTCTACCTCCCATTCTAGCTGGCTGAGCGGGTGATGAAACACTTGGTGCCTGAACCATGGCATGAGAACCCTGATGCTGAGAGCTGCTCGGTGCTCGAGGGAAAAATCTAGCAATATGCCTCGTATCGCCACAAGTATAACAAGCCCTCGGCTGCTTAGACTGCTGACCCTGACGGCCTGAATGACCACCCTAAAAACTCTAGAGCGGCGGTACACTGATAGCAGCTGGTGGTGCACTGTAGGACTGCTGATCAAAATACTGCATATGAGAACCACGACCACCTGGAGCACTGTGAGAAGCATAAAGTGCTGAATGAAACGGCCTGGAAGGATGGCCCCTACCAAAAGAATCTCTGCCTCCAGATGAGGCACCACTGAACCTGCCCGAATGACGAGGTCTCTTATCAAACCCCTAACCACCCCCCTATAATAGAACCATGTCAACTCTCCTGGCCACATTGGCTGCCTCCTGAAAAGAAATCTCGCTCCCCATCTCCTTAGCAATCTGCAGTCGAATAGGCCGAACGAGTCCCTCAATGAACCTCCTCACTCTCTCTCTTAGTGGGAAATATAAGAAGAGCATGACGGGCCATGTCAATGAATCTGCTCTCGTAATGAGTAAAAGCCATAGAACCCTACTGGAGACGCTCAAAATGCCTCCGATAGTTCTCCCTCTGAATGATATGAAGAAACTTCTCCGGAAATAGCTGAGAGAACTGATCACAAGTCAAAGTTCGTGACCCAGTTGGTCTAGCAAAACAATAATCTCCCCACCAAGTCTTGGCGGATCGAGACAGTCGAAAAGCAGAAAAGTCGACCCCATTGTTCTCCACTATCCCCATGTTCCGTAGAACCTCATGACAGATGTCCAAATAATCCTGGGGATCCTCAGAAGATGCACCAACAAAGGTAGTAGTGAACAGTTTGGTGAACCTATCCAACCACAACAAAGCATCGACAGACATAGCTGCTCCCTCACCGGTATGAGCTACCACACCCGACTGAACTGCTCCAACTGGCTGAGCTGCTGGAGTCTAAAACTGGGGAGCCATCTGCTCCGGAGTGTGGGTAGCGGGAGTTTGTTCTCCTCCCCCAGCATGAGAGACAGCTGGTGCGACAGGAAGTAAGCGTGCCCGAGTGACACTCTCCATAAGACCCACTAGACGGACCAGAGCATCCTGGAGTACTGGGGTAGCAATGAACCCCTCTGGGACCTGAGTTGGTCCTGCTAGAACTGTCTAGGCTGGAACCTCATCGTCAAACTCAACCTGAAGCTCCGCTGCTAGTGCTGCTGCTCTTGGCTGAGCACTGCCCCTACCTCGGCCCCTAGCACGGCCTTGCCCTCACCCTCCACCCCTCGTAGATGTTGTCGCTGGGGGTTCGGGCTGCTGATCAGCGGATGAAGAA